TTGTGCCTTCAGACTCTTGCCTTGGCACCTGGGCAATTTTCTTCCCACAAGTTCATGATCGGCAACCTGGGTCTCATGATAACTTGGTAACCCAAGGTCAAGCATTCAGTGTCTACCAAGACCTGTTAGCAAGCCAGATGCTGTTTCTCCAAAGGAGAATAGTCCTCTGCAGCATGGCTTCACTCCAAAACCCTTAAAGTCTGCCCCATACTTTACCCACAGAGGCCCCTCTGAGCTTCCATGAAGCATCTCTGTGTGCATATACACATCAAGCACTGTTGGGTCTGCTGGGTCACACCACCCAAGTGGCAGAGCCACTGGCATGGCGGCCTGGACCGGTTGCATAACCTTTTCTTCTGGACCCCACTCAAAACAGGCAACTGTTCAGGTCGATTGCTAAGTGGGTTTAAGTGGTACTTCATTGATACCACTGGTAAATGGTACTTCCGTGGTACCTTGACCTGAAACGTGAGCTACGTCGCTAAAATTTCAAGTGCCCACGAGGCACTGTGCTTCCTTCTCAATAGACAGGAGGGCCAGATGCTGTTACTTGTCCTACCTTCTGTAAGGGATATCTCAACATGCCCCAGACTAAAGGACCCCTGAAAAATGCTGCTGGAGTGGCAGGCCCCTAAGGTGTGTACAGGTCTTCCATGTCATCACCCATGCTGATGTCCTGTGGGGTGCAAAGATAATCCAGGTCCCTCTGGACTAGATAATGGCATAGAGCTGGAGAGCTGATGGAGCCCTGCAGTTGGAAATTGTAAGTGTATTGCTGTCCCTGCAAGCTGAGAGCAAATGCTTCTCACAGTTTTACTAGTAGGTATAAGGAAAAAGTCATTCTGCAGTGGAATAATTATAAAACAGGTGCCAGGGATGTGCTGATTTGCTCGAGCAACAATATCCACAGCAGCTGTGATTGGAGGTGTTGCTTGATTAAGTTCACATCACTCTACTGTCTTTCTCTAACAGGCATCTGTCTTCCATACCGGCAGGCAAAGAAGCATTCATGTCCTGTATGCAGATCTTTTTAAATTTTTATTTTGTAGAGACAGGGTCTCACTATGTTGTACAGGCTAGTCTCAAACTCCTGAGCTCAATCAATCCTCCCACCATGGCCTCCCAAAGCACCTGGATTATAAATGTGATCCCTCCTGCCTGGCCCTGTCTGTGAATCTTGAGTGAGATTTTAAAGCCCTGAGCCCATCACTATCTCTTTCCAAGTTCTCCAACCCCTAATAATTTTGTTTCCATTAAAATGCTCTGTGCCATCAACTACTGGTCACTCTTGAACAGGTGTGTACACAGGTGATCATTTAAGTAGCTGTTTTTTTTTTTTTTTTTTTTTTTTGAGACAGAGTTTCGCTCTTGTTACCCAGGCTGGAGTGCAATGGCGAGATCTCGGCTCACCGCAAGCTCCGCCTCCTGGGTTCAGGCAATTCTCCTGCCTCAGCCTCCTGAGTAGCTGGGATTACAGGCATTCACCACCATGCCCAGCTAATTTTTTGTATTTTTAGTAGAGACGGGGTTTCACCATGTTGACCAGGATGGTCTTGATCGCTTGACCTCGTGATCCACCCGCCTCGGCCTCCCAAAGTGCTGGGATTACAGGCTTGAGCCACCGTGCCCGGCCTTAAGTAGCTGTTTTAGCTTTTCAGGCTGTGGTCAATCAATGCCCCCCTTGCCAATAAAAGCCAGCCATGTGTGCCTTTAAATATAGTCAAATAAGAAAACCAATTCCAGATGAGCCAGACGCAATTCAAAGAGCCCATCCTTTAGGCTCTGTTCCTCAGAACCTGCGTCTAGTACCAAATTCTACAGAGGTCAGGGAGTTCAGGCAGAAAGGCAGAAGTACTCTTATATAACAATCCTTTTTATTTTTTTTTGAGATGGAGTCTCACTCTATTGCCCAGGCTAGAGTGCAGTGGTGTGATCTCAGCTCACTGCAACCTCCACCTCCTAGGTTCAAACAATTCTGCCTTAGCCTCCCAAGCAGCTGGAACTACAGGCACATGCCACCACACCTGACTATTTTTTTTTGTATTTTTAGTAGAGATGGGGGTTTCACCATATTGGCCAGGTTGGTTTCAATCTCCTGACCTTGTGATCCATCCGCCTGCCTCGGCCTCCCTAAGTGCTGAGATTACAGGCATGAGCCACTGCATCCAGCCTAACAATACTTTTTTGGTAGAGATTTGACCTGGTACGGATGGGATTGTTGGCTTAGTCCTTCATAGGAGGCTGCTTTTCCTGTGTCTGATGCTATAGCCTGAAGTTAGCAGGGCAGACAGTCTGAAACGGAAGATGACTGTGAAGGGGCGGGGGAGAGCAAGGACAAATTGGAACCTGGGAGAATGCATGGAACCCAAAAGAACGAACAAGAGCCTCACCTCTACAAAAAATTAAATTAGCAAGGCGTGGTGGTGCATGTCTGTAGTCTTAGCAGCTCTGGAGGCTGAGGTGGGAGGATCCCTTCAGCCCAGGGGTCTGAGGCTATAGCGAGTTACATTCATGTCACTGCATGCCAGCTTAAGTGACAGAGTGAGACTGTCTCTGAAAACAAAAGAGACCACAGAACATAGCTTTGGGATCAGACAGCCTGCTTCCTTCCCACCTCTCTTCCTTATTACTTGTGTGGCCTTAAGCAAAACACTTTACTTACCAGGTCCCACCCCTCACATAGGGATGAAAACAGCAGCCTCACTGGGCAGTTAATAATGTCTATATGGAGACTAGGCACGTGACTCACGCCTGTAATCCCAGCACTTTGGGAAGCAGAGGCGGTGGATCACCTGAGGTCGGGAGTTCGAGACCAGCCTGACCAACATGGAGAAACCCTGTCTCTACTAAAAAAACACAAAATTAGTCGAGTGTGGTGGCACATACCTGTAATCCCAGCTACTCAGGAGGCTGAGGCAGAAGAATCACTTGAACCTGAGGCTGAGGTTGCAATAAGCCGAGACTGTGCCATTGCACTCAGCTTGCCTTAGTGACAAGAGCAAAACTCCATCTCAAAAAGAAAGAAAGAAAGAAAAAACCCCATATACCTCCAACTTCATCAGCCCACCTTAGCCCTGTCCTCCTCCCTTCCATCCTGACCAGTGGGCTTTACCTTTGATGCCTTTTCAGTTTGGTAACAACTACAAGGGAGCTCCCCGCTGCCCAAGCCCTCTGTGCATATGCTTATAGACAACATTTTACTTACATTTGGAGGCTTGCATTTGTATCTGAAACCCAATTCAGGTGACAGGAAAGGATCTGTATGTGTAGGGCAATCTATCCATTAAGTTTGTATGAAGATCTAGCTAGGAAGGCATTTGCAATCTGGTCTGTATGTTTCACTAGCTCTCTTAAAATAGGATGACCGCCCTCGTGGTTCTCCTGCCAACCAAGGGATCTGGAAATGCAACAGTCGAGAAGAAACCTCTCCACAAGTTTTGGGGCTCCCTTAGCTCTCCTCATTCCCCCAGAGCTGTTCACAGCCACCAAGGTGGAAGACAGCAATGGGATCTGCTCCACTGAGGATGAAGCCCAGAGTCCCAGACAGACTGACCCCCGCAGGGACAGCCTCCAGAATCCAAAGATGCAGTTAGAGCAGAGGTGACATGGAGCTGGCCCTCAGCTGGAATCCAGGGGCTCCCCCCACAAATCCCAAATGTGGGTGAGTCCCCTAACTGCTCCTTTTGTGGACCAGGGTTGAAGGGAATGTAGAATAGTGGCCAGAGCCCAGGGTTTAAAGCTAGGATCTGAGGTCAAATCCTTCTTCTGCTGTTGATGTGCTGTGTGACTTTGGGACAGTCTCCTAACCTTTCTGGGCCTCAATTTCCTGGTAGAAAAATGAAGGTTCTCCATGGTTCCTTACAGCTCAAACACACGCCAGCCAGTGGTGTTGCCTTCATAACCTCATAGCATCCCTCTCCTGGGTGGATGCTGGGACTCTGAGCTGGAATGTGCCAATGAGAAGGGCCTGCCCACAGCCCCCCCTCCTGCAGAACTTACCAGCAAAGCACTGCCCTGCCTGCCACCTGACCCTCATGGGCAAAGGGAGAAGCGTGGACTGGGTTCTCTATTCTAGCATCACAATATCACGATCGAAGGAAAATGGCATTAGAGTGAAGCCTTCAGTTTCCCCCACATACCCATTCAAAATTGGATCAGGGAAATGGCTTTGATTTTAAATATTTCATGAGCAAATTCGGCATTGAAGCCCCTCCCTGTGCGGCATTGTCAAATAGAGACACGGAGTCTAAATCAAACTTTTCGAAAACAGTGGTGCATTCAGGGTAATCTCACAAAATTAAATTTTATTTTGAAAACATTCAACGCTAGAGCTTTTTAAACATAGACCCTGTTTATCATGTGGTTATTCTGGGGTACGTCGGAATAAAGAAGCCATAGGTCCTTTCCTGGAAGGATGCTCCTTTCTTCCTGCAGGCTTGGTAGCAAAACACCCTTTCTTTTATGAATTGATAGATGAGTTTTTTTTTAATGTCCTTACTTTGTCAAAAAAATAAATAAATAGACCCTATAACCGACAGCTATTTTTTAAAAATTCCTGCTGTGTGAAATCCCAGAACCTCAGCATCCCCCATAACAGCATCAAGGTGAGCTTTAGAAGCCTCCTTTTACATTGCAAGGAAGAAGACAGTTTCTTTCTCAAAGAGACTGAATGTCAGAGAGGTTCAGTAATGGGCCCAAGACCACACAAGCTGGAGAAGCCAGCGCTGGGACTTGAATGCCACCCTCTCTGACCTGAAAGCTGAAGATATCATAGTTACCAGTTATCTTTCCCCCACCCCATCAAGGAAGAGTGAGACCCAATACTGGGCTGGAGAGGCCCCCAAGGTTTAAGGAAATGAGCCCAAGAAAAAGCCTGAAACTCAACCCAGAAAACCCTGCATTTACTAATCTTCCCTTCTGTCTCTAAGACAATGTGGATAACTTTAGGTTTATTGCCCCAGTGGCAGAGAAAGAGGCACCAGTCATCCCCCACAGCAGAGGAAAATGCCAATGTGGTTTTTATTAGCCTTAAAAAGGAATTTTATTTAATATCCATGCACCAGATTTAGAGAGTCAATTTGGCTCTTCTTGTGTAGAAATTCTCTGGAGGGTGGTGGTGATAATCTGCTCACAGAAGCTGAGAAGTAAGTGCATCTCAGGGAAGTGTTCCAGCTGGAGCCAGGATGCTGTCTTCAGAGAAGAGAGACAAGCCAACCCTGAGTTGGGGGAGAGCTCTTGGTACCAGAGGGGCTGCCCTCAGAAGTGGAGGTCCTGGGGCTCTACCAAGTCCTGTGACTAGAGTCACTCTCCTAGGACTCGCTGGAGGGCGTGGCCCTGGGGGTCCTCGAAGCTTCAGGAAGGATTGAGGTCTGCAACGCAGGAGCCTCTCTCAGGATCCCAGCAGAATAGGAACTCTGCGTTGCAGAAGAACAGAGCAAATGCTTGGTCTGGAAGGAGCTCGCTGGGGATGCCTAGAAGCAGAGGATGTTGGGAAAGTACTGGTACCGCGGGTTGTAGCTCCATAGGTTTCTCTTGAGGCAGTAGACGAGCTTCCGGTCACAGGCACAGAGCTGCACACGACAGAAGGACCCCGGCTCTGCAACAGAACACCAGGAGCAGAATGACAGTGGGAAGAGCGTGCTTGACTGACTGATCACTTCCATCTCAGCAGAGACCCCATGGACCTCCTGCTCCGAGGAGCTCTCAGCCTGATGAAGGAGGCACGGCTCCTAAACCGGGAGAATGGATAATCTGATGGAAGGGGCACAGCTGCTGCTCAGGGTGATGTTTCAGTCCAGGAGACAGCTCCTGCCCTCAGCTATGATAAGCAATCTAGAAATGATTTAAATCACAGCCAGCGCAGTGGCTCATGCCTATAATCTCAGCATTTTGGGAGGCCGAGGCAGGCAGATTGCTAAAGTCCAGGAGTTTGAGAGCAGCCTGGGCAACATGGGAGTTCCCAGTCGGATTGAGGAAGCACATTCCTTCCTCTGGGGGACTCCCAGACTGATGGTGGAGGCAGCCACTGCTCTGGAGGAACTCTCATTCTCACAGAGCAGAAACCATCCCCAGGCCCTGAGCTTGAATCCTGCTATGTGCACTGGCAGGCCTTCAAGCTTCCATTTCCTCATATCTAAAATGAAGGAGACTAAACCTACTCTACAGGTATTTGGGGATCAAGAATCGAGAAAAAGGAAGCATGTCAAGCCCTTGCACGGGGTGGATGCTAAGATGTTTCAGCCCTACCCCGGGGGTCTGATACAGCTGCAATAATCCTGCCCCTCTCGTCCCAGTTCTGCACCCAACCCCACTTTCCCCAACAAGATACAGGCTCACTGTCCTCTAGGGCAACTGAACTTAAAGTCAGGTGCTCTTCCAATGGCCCAAACATGAAGCCCCAGCCTTACCACAGGTGACCAGGCCCCACGCGAATCTGTATTTGTAGGACTGTGTCCAAATGTTGCAGCCCTTCTCCTCCAGCCGCCCATAGCAGTGGTCATGCACCCAACAGCACCTGTCCATGCAAGAGACTTAGATCCTGAGTGGGAGGGGTGCCCTCCTGACCCCATCCCTAATAGGAGCAAAAATTCAACCATGTCACTTTAGCAGAGGCCACCTTGGTGGAAGCAATGTGGCAGAGAAGATCTGGTAGTGTGACTGAGTAATTTCCTGCTCCTCATTTCCAGCCAGCAGGTCATGGATCCTTGTTTTCCTCCTGGTCTCATGATTAGACTACATTTCCCAGCCTCCCTTGCAGGTAGGTATGGCCACATGACTTGATTCCTGCCAGGGGAGGTGGGTGGAATTGATGCACTCTACCTCCAGACCTGCCCAGACAAACCTCCCACACTTTCCTCCACTGTCCCTCTGCCTCCATCCTTCAGCTGGATGGAGATGACCCAGCAAAGGATTCTGAGGCCACAGGGGATGGCAGAACCACAAGATAGGAGGAGCCAATGTGTGATTCATACTGAACTATTGTGTGAACCAAAAATAAACTTCTCATATCATAGGTCCCACAGCTGTAGATCAACCAATATGGATGGAAAATGTACCTAGGCCTATTTTCTTGTGTCTGTATTAAACACGTACAGACTTTTTTCTTGTCATGAATTCTCAAACACTACAACACCTACTTCCATAGCATTTACATTGTATCAGCTATGATAAGCAATCTAGAAGTGATTTAAAGTATAACATCACAGCCAGCAGCAGTGGCTCATGCCTATAATCTCAGCATTTTGGGAGGCTGAGGCAGGCAGATTGCTAAAGTCCAGGAGTTTGAGAGCAGCCTGGGCAATATGGCAAAATCCTGTCTCTACTAAAAATAAATACATAAAAATAAATTAGCCAGGCATGGTGGCACATGCCTGTAGTCCCAGCTACTCAGGAGGCTGAGGTGGGAGAATCACCTGAGCCCAGGAGGTCGAGGATGCAGTGAGCTGAGATCACACCATTGCACTCCAGCCTGGGCAACCAGAGTGAGACCCTGTCTCAAAGAAAAAAAAAGGGTTGGGGGGAGGATACAATCACATAGGTTATATGCAAATACTATGTCATTTTATATCAGGGACTAGAGCATCTGCAGATTTTGGTGTCCACAGGGGTCCTGGAACCAGTCCAGGGGACGACTGTATGTTAGGTGTAGCAGATTGCACATAAACGGCTTTCTTGGTTTACAGAAAAACTGAGATCTTACAGAGGAAACACCTAATTTCTCCTATGACTAACATCTTACATTAGTATGATACCCTTGTTAGAATTAACGAACCAATATTGATATATTATTAACAGTAATTATTCACTAAATAATCCATCATTACTATCTCACTGATTATAAAAAAGTCATAATTGATTCAGCATTCCCTCATTTTTACCAATGTCCTTTTTCTATCCCAGGATCCCATGTTACATTTCATTGTCTTGTCTCTCTTTTTTTTTTTTTGAGATGAAGTTTTGCTCTTGTTGCCCAGGCTGGAGTGCAACGGAGCGATCTCGGCTCACCGCAACCTCCACTTCCCGAGTTCAAGGGATTCTCCTGCCTCAGCCTTCTTAGTAGCTGGAATTACAGGCATGTGCCACCACGCCTGGCTAATTTTGTATTTTTAGTAGAGATGGGGTTTCTCTATGTTGGTCAGGCTGGTCTTGAACTCCTGACCTCAGATGATCAGCCCATCTCCGCCTCCCAAAGTGCTGGGATTACAGGCGTGAGCCACCCACCGCGCCTGGCCCATTGTTTTGTCTCTTTAGACTCCTCTTGTCTGTGGCAGTTCCTCACACTTTCCTCGTTCTTGGCTGTTTTGAGGCATACTAGTTAGATATTTTATAAAATGCCCCACTATTGGGATTCGTCTGATTTTCTTTTTTCTCATCATGAGACTGGAGTTTGGGGTTATTTTGTTGCTAATTGTTCCAGTCTTGGCTCCTGAGGGCTCTTTCAGTCAGCACATGTACCTCTTGTCACACTGCCATCAATGTGGGCTTTCGTTTTGTTTTTGTTTGAGCACTTCCTTACTTTTTGTCACTAAAAGAAGTTCCAGGCTCATCTTGCATGTTTCCTGCCTTGGTCCTAGAATTGGCCATTTCTTCAAGGAACCCTGGTTTTATGTGTGTGTGTTTGGGGGTCTTGGAAGGGTTCTTTTATTGAAGAATAACATTGGAAACCAGATGTAGACATTAAGTGTGCTTGTTGCTACTGGGGTGTCATTTCTTTTAGGCCTTCGCCACTGACAGCAAAAGAATGTTTCTTTTTCCCATGTCTATAAAAAAAAGGTATATGATCACACAGGTTATATGCAAATACTATGCCATTTTATATCGGGGACTAGAGCAACTGCAGATTTCGGTATTTACAGGGGTCCTGGAACCAGTCCAAGGGACGACTGTATGTTAGGTGTAGCAGATTGCACATAGAAAGTATTGTGGGTTTACAGAAAAACAGAGAAGATCTTACAGAGGAAACACCCATTTTCTCCTATTACTCACGTCTTATATTCGTATGATACTCACATATCCGTGACATCTATGCATACTGGTATCTGTGCACACTTCTACACATAAACATCTGCCTCCATAATAAGCTAAACTGGAGTCCATGGTGAGGTCTCTAACTCACATGGATCATTCTGGCTTCCTGCCCTGGCTTATCCCACTCCAACAGTGAGAAACTTGGCCCCAACCATCTGTCCTTTCTTCGCTTCATCATCCCTTTCCTTTATATATGTCTAGCAGTATCAGAATTGTTAACCCAGTTGGGTATGTTTTCCAAGGAACAGAATCTCCCATTTCACACATTCTTCTAGAACTCTAGCACTTCCTGATCAAGAGGTGGAATCTAGGTCCCCTCCCTCTTAAAGGCTTTGAGACTGCCCTGACCAAGAGTACAGTGTAAGTGACACAGTGGGATTTCTGAGGCCGGCCATAAAACACCATACCCTTTAGTCTTGCAGTTTCGGGATACTCACTGTTGCAACCGGAGAGTCACCATGGTGGGAGGAATCCCAAACATCCTGGGAGAGACCTAAGTGACAGGAATTGAGGCCTCTGGCCCACTCCTAGGCCAGGAGATGCTGACAACTTGCCAGCCGTAGGAGTGGGTCATCAGGGAGGTGGATTGTTCAGCCCCAGTTGTCCAAGCTGAAGCTGAGACAAGCCACTCCCACAAACCCTACCCAAATGGAGGATTCACAGGCAAAGTAAACGATCAGTCCTGTTGAAGCTACTACATGTGGGACCACTTGCTATGCTGCAGTAGACCAGCTGACACCTTAGGCCACTGAGCTCTTGGGATTGCCAGCTAAATTCTTTGAGACTTCGTTTTCTTATTTATAAGATGGCACTTTAACACTCATCTTCCAGAACTGATATGGAATTGAATGAGAAAACGTGGGTGCAGACACTGGAGCCCAAGGGCAGTTACAGCAATCAGCTCACCAATCAGTGCCATCCTTGGGGGTCCCATGGCCGCCCCAGCCACAGTAACAGCCGTAGAAACCATAGTTCTTCAGGGCGTTCTTCCCTGTCACCTTTTCGATCATGGATTTTAGGTCCAGCAAGCCCCCTTGCACAGCAGGCACACCTGGAAGACAGCCCAGGTTCCCAGGTGACACCCGGGCAGCCCAGCCCTGCCTTAGGCCCACTGCCCAGCACCTCCTACCCTTTCTCCCACCCGGGGCTTGGAGGGACCTGCGTGTCTCTTTTTAATTCTCTCAATCAGTGGGAGGGGACATGCAAGCAGTATTGAGAATTGGTTAGGAATTTGGAATTGAAACATGAGCAGACTTGGGTTCAAATCCTGACTCTGCCACTAATTCAAAGTATGGTATCGAATGGAATCAGAGCCTCAGTTTCATCATCTGGTAAATGGGGACCCAAAATTAGCAGCTACATCTTGCAGTTGTCATGAGGGTTAAAATAACATCAAGTATGTTAGTTTTGAGCATGATGACGGGCACACAGTAAGTGACCATGACATATAAGGTGTAATTCATAAGGTATTTTCATGAAGCAGGCAGACAGGAGCTTCCTGTCTCTCTTGGCAATACGTTCCTCTTCCCCACCACTCCCCTCCCCTCACACTTTTTAGAACATAAGGCAGAGAATCTAAAAGCAGGATGGGACTCTTAGAAATTGCTGAAGGCAGTTCCCTCATCTTACAAATGGGAAACTGAGGTTTGGAGGGAAAAGTGCCCTGTCCAGGCTTTCACAGTGAGCACAAGGCCCCCTGCTCTCTCCTTGCCCCAGGCCTCCAGCTCCTCCTGGGGTCTCCAGGCACCTGGCAAGACATTAAAGAGCAGGACAGTCTGTCAGGGGGTTGTATATATGGTCACGGGGCTGCAGGGTCATCTGAACAGCCACCTCCCAGCTGGACAAGCCAGAGCTGAGAATGACCCAGGAATCGTAGGTTGGAATATTTAAATATGAGCTTTGATTTTAATTTTGATTGATTTGGGCATTTTTTTAACCTTATTTTATTTGCATATGAGGAAAAACATCTGCCTCCTACATTTGCCAGCCACATAACCTCCGTGTCCACCACCTTTACAGAGCTGAGGTATGATATCTCCTAGGACCCTGCCACAGCCCCACCCATGGACTGCATTAGCCCATGTTAGATGAGGAAGCAGAGGCTTGGAGGGATAAAGGCTCTTGCTGACATCTATGCAGTCAGTGCAGAGCCAAGATTCAAACCCAAGTCTCTACCACCTCAACGGCAGTGTCCTTTTCACCACCCTATTACTCTCATGGGGTAGAAGTTAATTCAGAGGTTGTGGGGACACCACTTACTACAAGCCAGGAACCAAGCCAGTGGGAGGAGGCCCTTCATCTCTGGGGTTCTGGAAGAGAAAACACATCCCACAACAGGTCTATCAGGCAATGCCCCCACGGCCCATTCAGATCCCACCCTGGCTCCCCACCAGGGCCCCCCTATTCCACTCTCTGTCCTGGTGGGCAATAAACAAAGTGAGTCTAGCCAGGAAAGATGAGGCAAAAAACTACAGGTCCCCTGAGGTCTCTGGAGGCAGAGGGGCAATAATGGAAGCATTTGCTGGGAGACTGTCCCAACCACCAGTGCGCTTTTAGCCACAAACCCCCCCAGACATACTCACCCGGTTGGCAAAATGGCTAAAAGGGACCAGAGAATAGCCAGGATTCTTGAATGGAGATTTGGTGGCATACGTGGAGAAGCAGGACTTGATGTAAACTAGACATGGCCTTTAATAAAAGATGTAAGAAACTTTCAGGAAGAAAAAATTCCTAGACAGAGAGCACTTGGTGCCCACAGCAGGAGGGCAGAGGAAAGTCGATGATTCTACGTCTCATACTCTTTAGCTCACAGTGCCCTAGTTGCTTGTTTGCAAGGATGTCTACCCTAGTGGTTCTTTGTAGGCAGACAGTGGGCTCTGCACCCCTCTATTCTAACACTGAGAATAGTGCTTGGCCCAGAGTAGGTGCTCAGCAGTGAACCCTGAGCACCCACAATATGCCAGTGGCTTTCAGGGCCTGGTCATGGATCTTATGGGTCCCAAGCACTTTTGCCTTTGTAGGCGCCTTTCTGCTATATATTTATATTTATAACTGTATCCACACAGTTATTTTGACAACTATGTTGGTATAAAGAAAAATATAATCCAAGCTGAATTTATTATTACATATTATTTTCTTTCCTCTTGATTTTAAAGGAATTTATAAAATTAAGACACTCTCCTGGGCCCCAGGTTCTGTGTCTACCTAAAGAATAAGTCAACCCTGGGGGCTCACTGGAGTGCTTCAGGGTAAGTATCACGGTCCCCATTTTGCCACTGGGAAAGTTGAGGCTCAGAGAACTTGGCCTTGCCAGAGGTCACACAGCCACTGAGAAGTGGAGGCCAGATTCAAGCTCCGTCCTTCTGCGCCCCTCACTGCACGGCACAGCCTCCCTTCCCAGCATGAATTCTTTGAGGGGGCTTGTTTGTTCCTTCTCATGCTCTACCTCTCAGGCAGAAGCCCTTGGCTTCACTCCTTAGAATCTGTCTTTGGTAAAAACAGCCATTGCTAGCCTAGAGTCCAGGAAATTCCATGTGTCTCAGGCCAGCACCTGATTCTAATTTGGCTTCTCAGAGGCTCCTTGCCAGCAGCTGCTTGATTTCCTTCCTCCCAGGATTCAAAGTCCTTGTTTATCCACAGCTGGACAAGCCCAGGCTTTCCCCTTCAGTGCCCTGTTGTCTCGAGTCCCTGAGTTGAATGGTCACTTGTGCCAGTGCTCTGCCGGAAACCCTGGCACCTCCCAAGGCCTGGCCTCCAAATACACCTCAGACTCCTTGGGGCTCCCAGCTACTGAGCTGGCATCCATGCCAACCCTTGTCCAGCAGCAACTCTGAGTTCCAAGAACATTCCTGAGGGTTCCATTCACCCACAGCCTCTGCTTCAAGGGCTGCAAACAGCCAAGGAAATGGCCCTAGACGCCACCCTTCCACACCAATCTTTCTCTGCTGCTCCCTGGAGCTGAGGCCCAAGGACGCCAACTGCCACTCACTAGGCACCTCTCGTGTGCCAGGCACTATCCACTATCTCTCTAAACCCACCAATGACCTTGGCAGGCCCAGCATCTGTCCTTCTAAACAGTTACTCGTTGAAAGAGTGACTAATAGTTGTCAATTTTACAGATAAGGAAACTGTGGCTCAGACAAGTGCCGTGAGTTGCCCAGGGGTTTAGCCCAGGACTGTGAATCTATTTCCTTGACTGACTCTACCCCACTGCCTCTCAGCATCCCTGGGCACTTAAGCATACTTTTTATTTTCTATAGTTTATGTCACTTTGACATCTTGGAGGCCTTGTTCGCCTGCTCCTTCCAGGGCTGGTTAATTCCTAGAGACCTCAAATGGCTCCTCTGTGAGCATGCCTTTCATATGCAGACGAACTGTGACAGTAGTGAGCAGGCGACCAACAACAGGCGATAGGCAGGCAGTTGGTAACTGTGTCTCTCTAAATAACTGGTCGCAGCCAGCACCAGGGAAAGGCAGTCTCCCCATAAACAGGAACACCTGAAGCTGGTAATGGGCAGCTTCCGGATAAGATTTCAGGAGCTGGGCAAGTGAGCTCACACATGCGCACTAAGAGGCAAAATGGCGGAGTTTAACTGACGTACGATCTGCCAGGGACATTGAGCTGGTAAAGGAAGACCGCCTCAAGGGAGCATGCGTCCAACTCAGTGAACACACTGCGCATGCTCCCTCCCGAGTGCCGGCAGGTCACTGTGCATGCGCACGGCCCACCCAAGGGAAGAATCAGGGGATAAGAAACACAACACCGTGGAAATATGCCAGTGTATAAAACCCCGAGTCAGGCCGGGCATGGTGGCTCACGCCTGTAATTCCAGCACTTTGAGAGACCGAGGCGGGTGGATCACCTGAGATCGGGAGTTTGAGACCAGTCTGACCAGTGAGAGACCAGCCTGACCAACATGGAGACACCCAGGCTGTACTAAAAATACAAAATTAGCCTGGTGTGGTGGCACATGCCTGTAATCCCAGCTACTTGGGAGACTGAGGCAGGAGAATCGCTTGAACCGGGAGGCAGAGGTTGCGGTGAGCCAAGTTTGCGACATTGCACTGCAGCCTGGGAAACAAGAGTGAAACTCCGTCTCAAAAAAAAGACACACAAAACCCAAGTCAAAGGTCAAACAGCACGCCTGACTCACGTCGCCTGCCTGACTCTCAAGTCTCCTGCTTGCTCGGCCCTCTTCGAAGTATACTTTCCTTCCTTTCATTCCTGCTCTAAAGCTTTTAATAACTTTCTACTTCTGCTGTGAAACTTGCCTCAGTCTCATTCATCCTCTGCCTTATGCCCCTCAGTGGAACTCTTTCTTCTGAGGAGGCAGGAACTGAGGATGCTACAGATCGATTTGGATACGTCCTACTGCTGACAGTGCCAGTCCCCTGGCACACCCCTCCCACCTTTCCCTCACTCTCACCCTCCAAGCCTCGGTTTCTCCTGTCCCAAATGACCACCCCAGGCCCAAACACTGGACAACTAGGGAAGCCTGGAGTCCCGCTGACATGATTCAAACTGGCTGGTCCTAAATCGTATCCCCTGCCCTGCCACCCTTTCCCTCGGAGGTCACAGCAAAGGCCCTGGGTGATGCTTCCCTGTGGCTCCTCCTGATGACCTGGCACTTCCAGCATGGCCCTGGGTGGGAAGCACGCCCTCTTCTCCTGGGGTCTGAAAATAGCAAGCCATCTTTTAAAAGGCAATCATTCCCTGATCTGTTGGGCTCCCTATACCTGAAGAAAACCAACTTCCCAGGTGCATTTGAGAACATCCTGGAAAGAGTAAGAAAGCAGTTTCATGGTGGAGGTCGCAGAGGCATGGAGGGCTGCCCTGAAGAGTGGCCACTCAGTGGATCCCAAAGTGGGCCCCAGGAGGAGGATGTGGGCTCAGCTATTTTAATCAAACGACCACAGAGAGGAAGCGCATAGCCACAAGAGAATTTCGGAGGAGGGCAGCGGTTGCAGTAATGACAGGGAGGGAATGGAGACGATGGACCAAAGGAAGATGTGGAGGCCGGGACGTGGCCAGGTCGCCGAAGGACGGGTACCCCACGTCCACATACAGCAGCTCCAGGACTTCCCAGTTCATGCCTCCTGGCTGGAAAGAAAGCATAGTGCAGAGCTCCGCTGCACAGAAGGCGCTGCCCAGCCCTCCTGCTGTCTGTGAGGGAGGTGATGGGAGTGTGCCCCTCTCCAGGCCCTGCGCCCCTGACCAAGGGGGCCCGGTGTATCCTCTCCTAGCCCCTTCCTTGGCCCTGCTCCCCACACCTCCCTCAGGCAAAGCAGCCCAAAGATGCGATTCCTCACCAGTGAGACCTTTTCTCCATCCTCAGGCTCGCAGAAGACGCCAGGGAGGGGCCTGCCTGGTTTTAAGGACCTCTCTGTCACCTCCCACACTCCTGAGTGGGCCAGCTCCAAGATTCCTGGTAACTCACATAGGAAACCCTGCTTCCCCTCACCCTGGCATGACCCCTGGGGATTTTTTTCCACTGTGTATGCAGAAGCAGTTTTTTAATTTTTTTCTTTGAGAAGAAGTCTCACTCTGTTGCCCAGACTGGAGGGCAGTGACCCCGTCTCAACTCACTGCAGCCTCCACCTTCCTGATTCAACCAATTGTCCTGCCTTAGCCTCCTAGGTATCTGGGATTACAGGCGCACACCACCACACCTGGCTAATTTTTTTTGTATTTTTAGTAGAGAAGGGGCTTTACCATGTTGGTCAGACTGGTCTCGAACTCCTTCCTGACCTCAAGTATTCCACCCGCCTCAGCCTCCCAAAGTGCTGGGAGTACCAGGCAGAAGCAGCTGTTTTCTGTAGCAGGTCACAGTGCCCAGGTGGCTTTCGGGAGAGACAGTGATCAGAGTCAGGCTTGGGCCACCCACGATCCAGGGCTCTTCCCTACCAGGAACAGAAACCCTGGAATCCCCCTCCCGGCACAGCCTCCCTCCCACCCACCACACTGGGTCTTTGTCAAGTCCCCCAGCCCTGGGATTCTGCTCAGATTTCATCTTGTCTTGCTCAGCCTCAACCCAAGGACAGCCAGGGAAGACAGGCGGCCCCGCTCCTGGACTTGAAGCTTTGCCCTGTCCTCTTCCTAACTTGCCAATTCCCAACTTCTTCTGTCCCGTTCCTGAGCTGGGGTGACTCGGGAGGTGCCTGCAGAAACACAACTCTGAGTTACCTACAGAACGTTGCTCCCCCACATCCAAGTGGTAGCCCTTTGTCAGTGCCTGACTCCCTGCTAACTCCTACAGTTCTTCTTTCGGGGAAGGGGAAAGTGCCAGGTTTGCAGTTAGAGAGATGCTCC